TGCTGGATTCTGTTGGTTAGGATCTTGTTGAATATTTTTGCATCAATATTCATTAGTGATATTGGTCTATAATTTTCTTTTCTTGTTGGGTCTTTACCTGGTTTTGGTATCAAGGTGATGTTTGCTTCATAGAATGTGTTGGGTAGTATTCCATCTTTTTCTCAGCTTGGAAATCTTGTCTACTCCTGCCTGGCTGATGCAATGGCTCCGAACTTTGTACACAGGCGGCTGCTCTCACACATGGCCATTAAAGCAAGGATCCCACTGCATTATGGTTATTTGGCACCTATCCAGTTATAGGCACCCAGCATAGAGCCTGGCACATGCCTGCAAAGCCTAACTACCTGCCTATGTTTGAAATGAATGAATTAATGGACTGGTCTGGAGTCAATGGCTTGGATTTAGCTGTAAGAACTGCCATTTATAGGCTAGGTGAGTCCCAGGCTCCTGACCTGTACTGTGGCATTAGTAATCATGGTTTAAGAGATTGCAAATTGTGGTTTGAAAATGGCAAAGCACTGGTCATAAGATGAGTGGGGGTATCAAAAGAGGGTTTATTATTATTGTTCCATCTTCTAACAAATCCGTATCTCCCCATCCGTTATTTCTCCTCGGCTCCCTAAGGCATCACGATTACCATAGCAGCCAGGTGCTGATGATGCCTCCAGGGGCAACAAGCTGAAACTGAGCCAGCTCTCACGTCTTCCCTTCCACATACCCTTTGCAGGCGAGGGTGAGATGGTCTGAAGCTCAGCCTCTGGTCAGGCCCCCTACCTTATTTCAGATCATTTAGCCCAAGAACCTTTGCCTCCACCGCCTCCATTCAGGGCTCTAAAAGACCTCTTCAGACCTCTTCGGAGATTACCTCGTCCCCAAGTTCTGTCTCCTGGCGCCCTGCCTGGTTACCGTGGAAACAGGTTCCACTGCGGACAAAGGAGGGAGCTGGGTCCTGCTTTCTCTTGGTCCTGTCGATGAGGATTTTTAGACCGTGGAGATTGCGCTGCCCTGCCCTGCACCTGCCCTCGTTCCCTACATTCTCACTAAAGTGGAGCTTGCCCTCCCTCACTATTGACACTGACGACACCATGTGTAAAAGTGTGACCACAGGAGAGTGGAAGAAAATCTTCTATGAGAAGATGGAGGAAGCAAAGCCAGCGGACAGCTGGGACCTCATCATAGACCCCAACCTCAAGCACAATGTGCTGGCCCCTGGCTGGAAGCAGTACCTGGAATTGCATGCCTCAGGCAGGTGAGTAACCCAGGAAATAAGGACCCTGCAGGGAGCCCCTGGATCATTGCCCTAGGGCATCACCAGAGGGGAGATTGAAAGCACACAGAACTCAGGCACTTACCTTCACTATCACTGTAAGGCTGGTGTAGACTGGAAGGCAGAGTAAGGGTCTCTAATTGGGAGTTGGGAGTTGGGGCGCTTGAGTTTTATTTCAGCTCTTCTGTTGATCACCTCTGTAAATTTTCCTGAGTCACAGTGTTCCCATCTGAAAAATAAAGAGGTAGAAAATATTGGTCCTAAATGCTGACATTTTACTTATTTTCAGATTTTAATAATCTCTTAAAAATTAGTTGAAAATCAGAGAAGGAGGGCAAGATGCCCATTGAGGGTCAAGAGATTTATACTCTGCTCCTGGGGCAGGTCACTTTGAAACTGTTTAATTCAGCTTGATTTAATTTAAAATATGAAACAAATAAAGTATGCTGGAAACTAGGCCTACTATCACCTCCATGGCCCTTCATCAATCCAGTTTCCCTTTTCAGACCTCATTTTTTCCATCTGCAAAATGAGAGCTTGGGCCTTTTGGTCCAGGGAGCAACAGCATCAGCATCACCCGGAATTTGCTAAAGGTGCAAATTGGGCCCCATTCTAGACCTGGATTAGAACCTGATTTTGAGAAGATTCCCTAGGTGATCTGTGTGTACCATAGTGTCTGAGATGGTCTTCCAGCACTCTTGTCCATGAATCTATGGGGTAAAGATTTTACTTTGGGATGTATGATGGGGAGGCTAAGGGTAGCCAGCAGGTAAGAAGCAAGTCTTCCCATCTGCCTTGGCTCAGCCCATTCTATTCTATTCCATTTAAGTCAATTCAATTCAAGAAACATATCTGGCACCTGTTCTAGGCTGGGCTCTGTCTCTAACTATGTGCACATGGATAGGTCTTACTCTATTTGTCACAGGATAAAACAAAGGATTCATTAAATAATTTCTAGGTTCCCCCAGTTCTGACAGTTTTCATTCCAAATCAGGCAGTCTGATTGGAGAGGAGGAAACAGTTCCCTAAGGATATGAGTAAACAAGAAGAGATGAGAATGCAAACATGAAGCTCCTAAATTGGCTAACAGGAGGGATGCTAAAGGCTGGACTCTTACTGGTAGGAGTCAGGAGCTTCTCAAAGATTAGGAAGGTTTGTGGGGCTCAGTGGGGAGGGTTTGTGGGGCTCCCAGACCCGGCTGGTGTCCTGTGATTCCAGCTCACCCTGGTCAGGCCTAGGAAACCATGGTCCCTGAGGATCACTTTGGGTACAGACTGCCTCAGCTTCCAGTTCTTGGGATGCATTAACTCTGGCCCTGACCCAGAGGCTGATAGGCGATGATGCTGTCATTTTCACCTGATTTGGATCTAGCCTGCCCACAGTCAGTGTTGACAGATAGGAATATGCAGATGGATTATGTGTTTCCTATCTGGCACGGCCATCCCTCTATCAGACTCACGGGCGGCCTGAGCAGGAAGGACTCGTGTCGTGCACCGTGTGCATTTTACAAATGAGGAATAGGAGGAATGCAGCCCAGAAAGGTCGGGGGCCCTGGGGTGGAGGGGCTAAGGCCTCTGGATGGCACTGAGCAGGTAGGTCCCTCCTGGATGCCCTGGTGGCATCCTGAGGAACCCAATCTAGTTTCAAGGCGCTCACAAGGGGGCAGGCTGGTGGCCTCCTGGGGAATCCCAATGAACCCACAGGGCGGCAACACACTGCCTCCACCTCCAGGCTCGGCCATGTCCCCCTCCCCCCTAGGGGTGTTTCCACCGCCTTCACGTTGTCCTCTACTCCTTCCTCTCCCCACCCGCGCAGGTTCCACTGCTCCTGGTGCTGGCACACCTGGCAGTCGCCGCACGTGGTCATCCTCTTCCACATGCACCTGGACCGTGCCCAGCGGGCAGGCTCGGTGCGCATGCGCGTCTTCAAGCAGCTGTGCTATGAGTGCGGCTCAGCGCGGCTGGACGAGTCCAGCATGCTGGAGGAGAACATCGAGAGCCTGGTGGACAACCTCATCACCAGCCTGCGTGAGCAGTGCTACGGCGAGCACGGAGGCCAGTACCGCATCCAGGTGGCCAGCCGCCAGGATACCCGGCGGCACCGCAGCGAGTTCTGCGAGGCCTGCCAGGAGGGCATCACGCACTGGAAGCCCAGCCAGAAGCTGCTGGAGGAGGAGGCCACCACCTACACCTTCTCTCGGCCGCCCAGCCCCACCAAGCCGCAGGCCGAGACGGGCTCAGGCTGCAACTTCTGCTCTATCCCCTGGTGCTTGTTTTGGGCCACGGTCCTGCTGCTGATCATCTACCTGCAGTTCTCCTTCCGCAGCTCCATCTAGGGGCCCCCCGGGGACCCCAGGCCTGTGAGGGGTGCCAGGCAGCTGCACGGGCAGGCTCCAGGAGAGACCGGGCTGGGAGCGGGGTCACATTCTAGCACTGGTGTTGCCACTGACCTAGGGACACCCTGGACAAATTACCCAGTTTTTCCATCTGTAAAATTAAGGGTTTGGGCTAGATCGTTGGCTTTTCAGAATGAAACCCAGAACCCCCACGTTCTGCGTAGGTGCCTCAGGGACTTTCGGACTTGGAAGGTAGACTAAGGGGGTGGGTTCTGACTCCTGGTCCAACCACCTAATCCCTAAATCCTACCTCCGCCTCTTGCTTTTAGCCAGGACAGCTCTACCTTAGATGGAGTTCCATTTAACATTTTGTATGAAGCAAGGTTCAGCTGCTTTTAATAAGCTGGGGTATTAGAGGATGAGGTGATCTCCAAGGGCCTTTCCACAGCAAGGAGCTTGACCTAGCCCTCTTGTTAATCTCCCAGCCTGCCCCTCATTGCCTCCTGTATCATGTAGCTGCAGCCTTGAACTAAACTCTTTGCTTACTGTATGAGCCTCCTCCACAACCCTCCCATACACCCACAGCAGAGGTTCCTCTTTAGGGGAGAGAGGCTCTCCCTTTGCTGCTTGGCACACAGGGGCCTGTGCTTCTGTTCCCCCAGCTTCCAGATTTTTTCCGCTCTGGGTGGATTATGGGGTCTGCCTGGCTGAAAGATGGGGGTGTGTGGAGTTCCATAGGGCTAGGCTGCCTACCCCACTGCATATGAACTGGCAGAGGATTTAGGGGAGGTTCAGAAGAGTTTTAGAAGCAAAGCAAAAAATCCCTGGTAACAGATATCATGATTCTCCATTATAATGAAGGGTCTTCAGAGTCCAGGGAACCGCTCTAACAGATTCTTAGCAGTGCTGATGCCAGAACACAGGAGATGGGAAGGACCTGGCCTCTTGGGTTCTTTACTGAAACTATAGTCAAGTGGCTTTCCCACATTGGCCAAGCGTGAGATGAACCCTTCTGCCAAAGATCAGCTGTCCACCTAGAACCACAGGGGTAGGGTATCTTCTGCAAGAAAGGCCATTAAGAACATGAAGTGCTTTGCCCATAGAGACGTGCATAGATATTTGGGATAATCCTATATTGATCTAAAATGGGAGTAATACCATTAGGAGTGGGAGGAAGGAGTCTTTCTTATAGGATTTGAGAGGATTTGAAATGGAATTGGTGGGGAGAGGTAGAAAGCTTCACGTTGGAGGGCCCTCATTCACCCACCTCTGTTAATAACTTGGCTCCCTCCCCTCCTTTCCCCACTACCCTTCTGTTTGCTAGAAAGTCATAATTATCTGTAGCAATAGAAGGAGAAGGGCCTCTTATAAAGACGGGCTGCTTTAATAAAGATGGGATATACTCAATCCGACTTAGCAGTCATTAATGTGTGTTTGAGATGCCCCACACTGTCCCCGACCTGAAATGGGCTGTTGGTCTCCTCCATGCTGCCACCCTGTCTCCCTGCTGTCCTGAGGCTCTATGTTTTCCAGCTCTGGGCCAGTCCTGTCCATAGTCAGCAGGGGTGAGGGGAGTCAGTCATCAGGGGATCAGTTTAAGGTCAGTCTTATCCCTGCCCTCGCTCTAACTCTAGCAACCTGCTGTGGCTCCCTTTACCTTACACAGTGTTCATCTCTTCATTCCGTCCATGTTTCCTGAGCACCTTCTCTCTAGCAAGTCCTCTCTGGCAGGTTCTGGGGTAAAGCAGGCACTCGGGGGCAGGTCCTATCTCTCAAAGGTGTCTGGTTACTACAAAGGTTCTCAGTCCTGGCTGTACTTTGGAAATCTTGGAGGTCTATTAAAGAAATATCATTGCTTAATCTTCACTCCAGATCAATGGGGTCAGAAATTTGGGGGACGGGGCCTAAGCATATGAATTAGAATAAAATACTCGGGTGATCTACCTGTGCTGTCTGATACAATGCCTTCTTAACTAAAAACTACGCTTCCTTGATGACCTCTCCTGCATTCTCTAAGACGAGGGCTCAGCTTCCCTCTCTCCAGCTGCTCTTCTCCTTCCATGCCCTGTGCCCTGAAGACGTCACCCTTCCTCACCATCCCACTTTGCAGAACTGCATTACAATGGCTGTTTCTGGCTCTGAGAGTCTCATTACTGAGCACTGCCCCCCTTACAGGGACACTCATCAAACTTTGTTATAATTACTTGCCTATGGCTGGACTTCCTGCTAGAATATAAGCTCCAAAAAATCAGACACCACGTACTTTATTAACCTCTGTTGAGTGAATGACAAATGCTTGATAAAAATTTGCTAACGTTATGGCACGGGAATATACAACATAAATGAAAATAACAGTAAAAAAATTTGCTGAATGAATAAATAAACCAATAAGCTAGGCCATCCCTAGCCTGATCCTCATATCCCTGGCATGTTACTGTTATGTTTGTGACAATATTTGGAGTCTCCCTCTCACTCCACACTCATTCTTCCTAGGTTATGCATTTATGTATCCTAAATCAAATCAGTTTAACCCAAGGTACGGGATGAGGACAGAGTGTGTGTATGTGTGTTTTAAGGGTGGTAACATGGGATCATGTAGAGGGCTCTGAACCTTCTATTGGGAGCTGTGGGCCCTGTCATCTAATTTTAGTTTGAGTATCCTGGGATATTCAGCTGATCATTATTCTCTCTGGGTCTCAAGTGGTCCATCTTATGGTTTGAAGCAGGCGTCCTCAAACTACGGCCCACCTAGGACATTTATCTGGCCCGCTGGGTGTTTTTGCCACCGCTGCCTGTCCTGCTTAGCAGCTGACTCATCCTGGGGCTTGCAGTCCGGCCCTCTAACAGTCTGAGGGACAATGAACTGGCCCCCTGTTTAAAAAGTTTGAGGACCCCTGGTTTGAAGCACCCTGAGGTCCTTCTCTATACTATACTGTACCAGCCCATATAAACATTCTTTTTATGCGCTTTCCAATGACAAGTTATCCAGCCTCTATTTGGGCAATCTCAGTGACAAGGAGATCGTTACCTCCCAAGACAGTTCGTGCCATCTTTGGATAATTCTGTCTTATAAAAAAGATTTTTTCCTTTTCAGCCTCCTTCAACAGGACTTGCACCTGCCTCCCACAGTGCTAGGATTACAGGCATGAGCCACTGTGCCCAGCCCCCTGACTCACTCTTGCTCAAGCTGGTCTTGAACTCATAAACGCAAGCGCTCCACCTGCCTCGGCCTCCCAGGGTGCTAGGTTTACAGGTGTGAGCCACCACGTCTGGCTTCCTGATGCTTTATTTCACGCTACAGCCTGTATCCCACCTGCCTTCCCACTCCTGATCCCCTTGCCTGTACCTCAACTGGGATTCCCAGGAAGCAGGAGTCGAGGCAGAGGCTTAAATGTCCGTGCTTTTTTGGGAAATGTGGCCCCAGGAAGCTGGAGTGGGGTGGGGGGAGCCAAGCAGAGCCAGAGGGAAAGGCAGTGGAAGGAGGGCCCACCCCGCTGAGCCTCTCAGTTGCTCAGTCCCACAGAACCATCTGAGAGGCCAGATGAAATGCATCCCAGAATTGTTCATGGGTAGGAGTCGGGGTGTCTATCCACTGGCTGTTATCTTCTGGGAGTTGAGGGTTTGTCCACCGGGTGATAAGTCCCCTGCACTCCGGGCGGCAGGTACACTAACTGGGTGAATATATGAATGAACAAGGGCAGAAGAGGCAGCTGACGACATGGTTTGTGTCCTTGCTCTGCCTTTCCAGGGTGAAAGCGCCTGTCTCTGACTTTCTGCGCTCCTGTTCTCCCTCAGAAGGTTGTGTCTCTTTTGAGGGCCCTGCAGCCATTCACACTCTTTAGCAATAGCTCTCTGACTTCTTTTCCAGCAATTCTCCTCCCCCCATAGAGTATAATCTGGTGGGGTATCAGGGAACTCTGCGTCTCCCTGCACTCCCAACCAAGGGGCATGTGGCCCGAGAGAGGGAGATTGGAATTTCAATAATGAGCCAAAGTGATAAAAAACACTGATAAAAGCTGGAGCGTATTACCCAGCGGCGGCCCCGGCGTGATTGTAACATAGTCTCTGCCCTGCACATTCTTTTTGTCCACTCTTCTTTTTGCTTCTGTGAACAACCCCCATAGTTTTCCAATACATTCCCTTTTATGCTTAAATCCACTGCTGTCTGTGAGCATTTTAACCAGAGGACTGTGACTGACACGCCAGGTCTTTCCTCTCTGGACACATTCCAGGTGGGCAGCTCTGACGAAGGGCAGAGCTAAGCTCCCTCTGTCCTCTCCCTGGATCTTCAACATCTCTTTCCTCTGTGCTCCAGCTCCTGCCTCAACCCCACATTCCCGACCAGATCCTGCCTTTTCTCTTTCCACTCACATCCAGATGTGTCCAGGACTGTCTGTTCCATCTCCACATTTTCAATTCCCATGAACTCTGCAGGCCAGCTTCACCTCTACAAAAGTCTACAAGAGTTGTCTTTCCCAGGAACCCAAGGCATCCTATGGCCGCATAAATGTATACCTTTTTTCTTTCTATGAGACAGGATCTTGCTCTATTGCCTAGGCTGGAGTGAGGTGGCGTGCTCATAGCTTATTGTAATCTCAAACGATCTTCCCACCTCAGTCCAAAAGTAGCTGGGACTACAGGTACGACCACCAAATTTTAAATTAAAAAATTTTAAAACTTTTTATTTATTTATTTTTTTTAGAGGTGGGGTCTCACTATATTGCCCAGGCTTCTTTTCAATTTCTAGTCTTAAGTGATCCTCCTGCCTCAGCCTCCCAGAGAGCTGGGATTACAGGTGGCCAGTGTATGATTTTATACCTTATTTTTCTTGACCTTGTAAAGGAGTTCAATGCCGCTGACCAACTCCAAACGCCCTCTTTACTTCAGTTCAGGGATGAAGGTAGGTTTTTCTGCCCCTGCCTGCTTCCTGAATGGGGTTCTTTACGGTCCTGTTTCAAGCCTTCTCTTTGCTTCTTTCTCATTTGTCTGCACTCCTTGAT